CATGCCCGGCTGATTTTTTGATTTATTGTAGAGATGAGGTCTCGCTACCTAGGCGGGTCTCAAACCCGTGGGCTCAGGCAATCCACTCACCTCAGCCTCCCAAAGGCACGGGATTACAGGCTGAGCCACCGAGCCCGGCTGAAAGTGTTTAGTTTTGTGAGAATTTACCAAATGCCTTCCAAAGTGGCTGCACCGTCTTGCATTCCCACCAGCAATGAATCAGAGTTCCTGTTGCTCCACATCTTCACCAGTGTTTGGTGGTGTCAGTGTTTGGCATCTTTTTAGTTTTTGAATTGCTAAGTTTTTGATTGCTTAAAGTTACTTAAAGACAGTAACTTTCATGTCTTTAAGCCAATAGAGATTAAAATATGTGGACCCATAGATGTATTCTAGTTTATTATGTTTCATTTCATTCTTTACTATATTGTCTCCAAAATAATAATATGAAGCTATTGTTACTACATAATACCCTAATAAATTATATTAGAAATAAACATTGGAAACTTTTTTGGACCGATAATCATATTACTACAAATAATAGCAAACACCCATTATATACTTCCTGACCCATCACTTATTTTTCCTAATGCCACTTAGTTCTCACAGAAACACTGAGAAATTTGTGTTACCATTTCCATAGTACAGACAAAGAAACGGAGGCTTAGGTTGGATAAGAACATGTTTGACCAAAGAGATGAATTTCTTAACTTGTTGAGTTAAAAAAAAAAATGAGGGCCAGTTCTGATAGTAAATTAATATATAAAATTAGATCAGGCTTTGTAACATAGTTTTGAGTTCTATAATTGATAAGACAAAAAAAAAAACCCACCAAAATTAAAACCAAAGTATTCTCAAGAATTGTTAAAAGAATTTTCAGTCGGGCTCGGTGGCTCAGCCTGTAATCCCGCGCCTTTGGGAGGCTGAGGTGAGTGGATTGCTGAGCCCGCGGGTTTAAGACCCGCCTGGGCAGCGAGACCTCATCTCTACAATAAATCAAAAAATCAGCCGGGCGTGGTAGCGCGTGCCTATAATTCCAGCTACTTGGAAGGCTGAGGCAGAAGGATTACCGGAGCCCAGCAGGTCAAGGCTGCGGTGGCTGGGAGCGGCCACTGCACTCCAATCTGGGTGACAGAGTGAGACTCCAACTCAAAAAAAAAAAAAAGAAAATAATAAAATTTCAAAATGTCTCCTATTATTCAGGAAATTCCAGGGGGGCTAACTGCTCTGTGTCTGGAACCAGGGTCAAAGACTAAATATCAGAACAAAAGGTGCTCCTAATGGCACTCCTCTCAGTTGGGAAATTGCAAAGGTTTTAGGAGCTCTGTGCCAGGAACTAGGGCAGAAACCAAATATATATATGTATATATATCTCAAACATTTATTTCATATAGTATTATGCTGCAATTGCAGTTTTTTCTTCATAAAATGGTAATAACATCTCAGAAAGTCGGTCCCAAAGACAAAACTCCAAAAAATAGTAAACCATGTGGAAGGAGACAGCCAACTCTTCAGAATAGCACCATGTCCACAAGAGACTGCCTTTTTAAGGCTACCTTGGGCTTGCACCAGCCCCAAGAAAATAGCCATTTTTCTCCCTCAGAGGAAACTTTGATAAATCATACTGTGATAAAAGTTCACTTTATAAAATGTTAAGCATGTACTTGCTTGTTCTCAGGCGCATTACCACCAAATGTTGATCATTCTTATTTTTATTTTCCCCCCAATTGATTTCTCTCAATCTGGGTATTTAACTTTTTTCTTGTTTGTTTGAGTCAGTCTCACTCTGTCACCCAGGCTGAAGTGCAGTGACATGCTCATGCCCACTGCAGCCTCCATCTGCTGGGCTCAGGTGATCCTTCCACCTTAGCCTTCCAAGTATCTGGAACTACAGGCACATGTCACCACACCTGCCTCATTTTTTTATTTATTGTAGAGATGAGGTTTCACCAAGTTGCCCAGGCTGGTCTCGAACCCCTGGGCTCAGGCGGTCCTCTCGCCTCGGCCTCCCAAAGTACTGGGATTACAGACTTGAGCCACCATTCCTGGCCTTAACTTTAGAATGTGTAAATCCCACCTTAGGGCTGGGAGTGACCTGGTGGAGACCTAGATTTGGGGCTCTCTGTGTCTTACACCTCTTGCCCTTTGGTGACTTCTCCTAGCCAGTGAGTTTAGGTTTTCAAGCCTCAATCACAGGGTTGGTCTGGATCATCTCTACAGTCCATATCAGTCCTGAGATGCCATGGTTGATGAGGCTAAAAGAGACAGTCATGGCCGGGTTCGGTGACTCAGCCTGTAATCCCATCACTTTGGGAGACTGAGGCGAGTGAATTGCCTGAGCCCGCAGGTTCAAGACCAGCGCAGGCAACTTGGTGGGACCTCATCTCTATACTAAATCAAAAAATGAGCCAGGGGTGGTACCATACGCCTATATTTCCAGATACTTGGAAGGCTGAGGCAGAAGGATTGCTGGAGCCCAGCAGGTCAATGCTGGGGTGACCGTGGGCATGCATGCTGCACTCCAGCCTGGGTGACAGAATGAGACTCCAACTCAAAAAAAAAAAGAGACGGTCATGACCAAGAGGTGCCTCGGCCACAGATGTGAGTGGCTGCCAGGTGCTTGTGGCAGAGGAGACTGAAGGCACCCACCGTCTCTACCATGCTCCTGCCACGAGGAGAGTGACAGCGTGTCCCAAAGATTAATACCCTTGTTTTTTCTTTTGAAATGCCTGTCATCTGGCCACACTACAGCCCACAGGCCCAATCTGTGTTATTGGAATAGCTGTGTCTCCAGCTGCTTTCATGCTCAGCAGAGGGCAGAGTAGTTGAGAGACTCTATGACCCAGAAAACCAAAAATATTTACTCTCTGACCCTTTGCAGAAAAAGTTTGCCTACCTCTGATCTAGCTTATTGTTCAAATGGCCGCAGTTGAAATTTGTTTAGGGATTCAGCTGCAGTTCTGGATCTGTGCAAGTCTTGTTAATCTTGTACATAATTTTTAAGCTCATTGTGAGTAAAGTAGAATGGGAGTGCTTTAAAATAGAGACACCTTGGGCTTCATCACAAAGCAGTGATGGAGCATTTTATTTTGTTTTTGTGTTGTTTGTTTGTTTGTTTTTGAGTCGAAGTCTCACTTTGTCTCTCAGGCTTGAGTGCAGTGGCACACTCATGGCCACCGCAACCTCAGCCTGCTAGGCTCAGGCAATCCTTCTGCCTCAGCCTTCCAAGAACCTGGAACTACAGGTATGCACCACCACACAGCTACTTTTTTGATTTATTGTAGAGATGAGATCTCACCATGTTGCCCTGGCTGGTCTTAAAACCGTGGGCTCAGGCAGTCCTCTTGCCTCTGCCTCCCAGAGTGCTGGGATTACAGGAATGAGCCACCACACCCAGCCTGTTTGTTTTTTGAGTACGAGTTTCACTCTGTTGCCCAGGCTGGAGTACAGTAGCACACTCACAGCCACCACAACCTTGACCTTATGGGCTCAGGTGATCCTTCCACCTCAGCCTTCCAAATAACTGGAACCACAGGTGTGCACCATCACGCCCAGCTAATTTTTTGATTTATTGTAGAGACGAGGTCTCACCAAGTTGCCCAGGCTGGTCTCAAACCCCTGGACTCAGGCATTCCTCTTGCCTTTGCCTCCCCAAGTGCTGGGATTATAGACATGAGCCACCACACCTGGTGAGCATTTTATTTTGACATGACAAAATTAAAAATTAAAAGCACATATTTTAAATTTCATTAACCACTGGCCTTTTAAGGATTTAAAAAGCAGTATTAGTGAAGCCTTTGAAAGGTGACTGAAATGCTAAGCTTGAGTTAGTACTGAAGGCCCCAGGAAGAGTAATTGGAGGGTTAAGGTCTCTCTGGTGGCTTTTTTCCGGTTTCAGGCTTCCCATTTTCCCCAAATTGGATGTTACCCTCCTGTCAGGCTGATAACAAGTGCTGATTCTATTTTGTACAGGTTTTTAGACACTTCCAAACAAGCCATAGGAATGCTGTTCATCCACTTTGCAAATGTATACCTAGCAGATCTCACTGAAGAGGACCCTTGTTCACTGTAAGTGGCCCGAATTGAGTGCAAATGTTTCCCAGCCCTTCATTGAAAATGTAGGCTGACCTTGCTTTTTGCTCCTGGTCCTGCTCCCTCTGGCTTGGGGAGAGGGTGCTCCCCTTTCTTCTTTGTGCTTCTCTGAGAGGCCACCTGGTGTGTGCTGTCTCTAAGCCCACATAGACAGTTCTCAGTTGGCTCATAGGGCTTTGCATGGTGACACTTGCACTGTGCGCTGGCTTTCTGCTAATCAATGCAGGTTCTGTCTTTTGATTTTTCTCATGTCTCCCAGTTTCCAAGCAACCTCTGTCAGAGAAGAATATGGCCTGCAGGAGTGTCTCTTTGCAGGAACCAGGACACATGGGGGCTTCTCTGTGGTGTCAGCCACTCAGGGTCAAAACTATTGTTGACCATCATTGGCTTTTTTGACCTAAAGACTATGATTTGTTCCATCTTATTACTGCAGTGTGCCTTTCACATAGCCCCCAGAGTAGTCTGTCTGCAGCCTTGATGCTGGCCTCATTGCTCACAGCATCTGAATGGTTCTTCTCTTAGCAGATGGTGTGGCAAAGGCAGCTCGTCCCCTTCATCCTGGCCCCAATTCCTGCCTTCTTTCATCCTTGCAGCAACCCTGCCATATCGATAACTTTGATTATCCCCATTTTACCATTGGGGAACTGAGGCACACAGAGGTTATACGTAACTTAAGTTTGCACAGCTCAGGGGTGATGGAGCCCAGCAGGTCTAGCTCCAAGGCCTGCATAGTGCTCTGCTGTCTGCCTGTCTCACCTATGGTTAGTATGGAGCACAGAACTTTCTATCTTTATTTCCAAGGCCCAGCACACAGTTGGCTCAGTAAATCTTAAGTGAGCGAATGAATGAACATAAGACTGTGTATATCAGGTGTCCTTGTTCTCACTTTCAAGATAGGTCTCAGGTGTGAGATGTACTCAACACCAATTAGATGTAAGTGTCTGAGAGTGGCCTCGCCTCAAGCCAAAGAGAAATTGCCTGGAAAGCAGTTGCTCTTTCTGCCATCTCTGGTCTGAGAGTGACCTCTTGTGATTTTAAAGAGGAAGGGCAGGCAGGAGAAACACTGCCTCCTCCCTCTTCACACTGGTTTCTGTGTTGCTCTGAGCCGAGCACTGGGTACATGCTCTGGGAGTGCTTTGCGTATAGCCAAAGCCCAGCCCTGAGATAGGAGTCTGTGAGTCTGCATCAAAGGTCTCAAACCTCAACAGCTCAAAAACTCACCACAGCTGTGTCTTGAACCTTATCTGCAAGGATTTCAGAGCTGTCTGGTGTCACAGGGTCCGTACCTGACCTGGTGACCTTGTCTCCTGCTTTGTCTCCTATAGAGAACTAGGACCTGTGGTCAGCAGTGCTCGACTGGATCTGGGTACAATGTCCTTGAGAGAGGGCAGTTGTGCAAGGGCCCTTTCCCTGGGGGGAAAAATTGTGTTAGACAGATGGAAACAGACCCTACAATAAAACATAGTCGGCCAGGCACAGTGGCTCACCCCTGTAATCTCACCACTTTGGGAGGCCAAGGTGGAATAACTGCTTGAGCCCAGGAGTTTGAGAGCAACTTAGGCAACAGAGCAAGACCTCATCTCTGCATAAAAATCAAAAAATTACTGTGAAGAGGTGTCTTGTGTCTATGGTCCCAGCTGTTCACTCTTGGGGCTGAAGGGGAAAGATCACCTGAACCCAGGAAGTCAAGGCTGTGGTGAGCTGTGATCATGCCAGGTCACTCCAGCCTGGGTGACGGAGTGAGACCCTAACTCAAACACATACACAATCAATGTTACATGCCTTCAGGACCTTCCTCTCCTTCTTCTTGTCACCTTGCCTTTTCCCGTGGGAAGTAAAGCTCTCTCTTTAAATGTAAAAATATTACTCACACTTAACTCCAGGTGGAGATGTGTGAGGGCCACATGGTCCTGCCCTCTTTGTCTGAGAAACCCCAGAGATCATTTTCTTGAACTGCTTGGGTCCAGCAGCACTGTTGGGGGCCTCGTGTGGGCTAGACTGTCAGAAAGCAAACAGAATTATTACACAGATTTTTTTTGTTGATAATTAAGTTCTTTTTTCCTGTTCATCTCCTTGGCTGTCTTCTATTGAGGCTTCACCTGACAGGAACTCTTGAAAGTTTTTTAAGCGTCTTTGTCCCACACACCCCACTCCAGTTGTTCAGCTGGAACACTAGCACATTGTTGAGGATGCACAGAAGTAAGAGCTGCACAGGCACGTGAAGACTACCAGCCCTCAGAACAGAGCCAGACAAATGCTGGGTCAGTTCCTCAGGCCACACCTTTGTCAGCCTTGACCTGTGACCCTGGGAAGCCCATGCTGAGGCCCGGCCCTGTGGCTTCTACCCCTGACCAAGTGTCCTGTCCTCACAGGTACCTCATCAACTTCCTCCTGGATGCCACTGTGGGCATGCTGCTCATCTATGTGGGGGTGCGTGCCGTCAGTGTCCTAGTGGAATGGCAGCAGTGGGAGTCCCTGCGCTTTGGCGAATATGGTAACGTGCCATGGAAATGGGGTAGGGTGTGGGGAGGGGTGCCGGGAGGTCTGCTCCTTGCCCCTTGCAGCCCATCAGGCAAACAAACCCAGAAAAGGCTGGGGAGCTGATGCTGTCTCCTCTGTGTGGTGAAGGGGCTGTCCTGGGGCCTAAGCACACTGTCCTGTGGGTGTAGGTGCTGCTTCACTGCTGAGGCTTTCACCTTATGGCAGAGTTGGTGGCAGGAGCCAGGAGACAATAGACTCAGGGAAGGGGCCAAACGTTTGCATCTTCTACCACAGGGCACTGATGATCCCACCTCCAGGGCCACCTCATTCTGCCAAGCTTCCCATAGAGCTCACACCACCTGTATACCATGTTAAAGAGATGTAGCCAGCTCTCATTTTGTGGAGATGTTTGGTAGGGAGGTGTCAAGCCCTGCCTTTCTGTTGCACATCTCTGCTTGTTCTGTCACTGGGCCATTCCTCTGGCAGAGTGGTGCTCATACAGCCAGTTCTGGAGGGTACATCCCCTCCGGGGCCAAGTTTCCTTGCTGTCTCCCAACTGTGGGCTCATGCCTAACCCAGCAACTGGCATGTACCCTTCACCAGTAACACAAGGTCCATTCTCACTCGGAGACACAGCTTAAAGTGGGTCACTTGTAGATGCTGGTTCAGCTGTGGTCCACTATCATCTCAGACCCCATGGAATACAGCTTGGGTGGGAAGCTGCCTTGGTGCTGGCTCTGAGGACAAGAAACAGATGTGGCCTCAGTAGGGCTACTGGTGAGGGGCCTTCTCCAGGCCCTCACTACCCTCTGGGGTCTCAGGGCAAGGTTAAGGTGTAGCATTAGCTCTTTCTTGCCTTCACAGCTGAACCCTGCTGTCTGCAGGCAGGCGCTCCTCTTCTCAGTTGGAGAATTCTTTTCCATGAGGGGGCACACAGACAAGAAGGAGGAAATGTGAATGGAACACTGGATCCCCACTCTGCCTTCCTGGTCATACTTCCCAAAGAGCTTATGGCTCTGGGCCAAAGGGTCACTCACTCGTAGAGAGCTGAAGATTCACAAGGGACTGACAGTTTAAAAGGGGAACCAATTTGTGGAGCTGACTGTGAGTGCCTGGAGTATTTCTAGAAATCTTAAGTAATTGTTTGTCTCCGTTGAGGGGAGATGAACTCAGGGGATAGCTTTTCTTAGCCCCGTTACTTGATGCCTGATGAGTCACTGACTTAAGATAGTGTCCAGCACACAGCGTGTGCCTCCTGTGGCTCCAGGAAAGTCTTCTGAAAAGCTCCTAGTCATCAGTTCCTCAGCTTGCAGGACAGAAATGGACCACAGCACATGTGGACCAGTGCAGCATCATCTTCATTTATAGAATAGGCATCCAAAGGAGTTAAGTGACACATGAAGCTCACCCAGGCATTACATGGTGGGGGAGCCTCAGGCCCCTAGCACCAGGGCACCTAAAGCTTCCCACCTCCTCCACAGACAGTACTCACAGCTACTCCTGTGCTGTTGAAGTCCCATTTGGAAGGCAGGGCTCTCTATTCACCTGTAGCTGAGTGCTGAGGTAGCTTTACCACAGTCAGTTATGTACCACTTAGTAACCTGGGAGTGGGGCTCGGGTCTTGTCCTGATATGCTAGGCATGATGTTACCACCTTTTCCCAAGGCATGATGTTACCACCTTTTGCCTGCATCCCCATGTGTAGATCAAACGGAAGAAGGCAGTGGTTGTGTTTGAGCCTCTTCCTCACCTGCCTCGGCCACTGCTCTATGGGCCATCCTGCCACTGGGAAACAGAGTTTGGGAAACAGAGTTCCAGCCAGAATGTCTCCAGATAAAGCTGTACTTTATCAAGGACCATTTGGAGTCTTCCCTCCCCAGGCTGAGGAAGAAGAACTTATCTCCTCAGTTACCTGTTGTTTTCCGTTTCTGTCCATTTCTATTGTTTTCTTTTTTTTTAATAATCGATATTTTTTATTTTGATATTGTGGGGTACAGTCAAGGGTTAGGTATACAAATATGCTTCATTCAGGCCCCCTTGTTGATAATTAGTGTCTCATTTCTATTGTTTTCTATTGCTGCTGAACAAATTACCATAGACTTCATGGCTTAGAACAATACAAATTGATTATGTTGCAGATTTTTGTTCAGAAATTCAACAGGAGTCACACTGGGTTAAAATCAAAGTGTCAATAGGGCAGGCTTCTGGTGGCTTTAAGGAGATTGTTTTTTTGCACTTTCCAGCCTCTAGAGGCCACTTGCATGCCTTGGCTCATGGCCCCTTTCTCTGTCTTGAAAGCCAGCAGCATGCTGGGCTCCGTGGCTCAGCCTGTAATCCCACGCCTTCGGGAGGCTAAGGTGAGTGTATTGCCTGAGCCCGCGAGTTCGAGACCCGCCTGGGCAGTGAGACCTCATCTCTACAATAAATAAATAAAAAATCAGCCAGGCGTGGTAGCGCGCGCCTGTAATTCCGTCTACTTGGAAGGCTGAGGCAGAAGGATCGCTGGAGCCCAGCAGGTCGAGGCTGCGGTGGCCGGGAGCGGCCACTGTACTCCAGTTTGGGTGACAGAGTGAGACTCCAACTCAAAAAAAAAAAAAAAAGAAAGCCAGCACCAGTAGGCTGGGTTCATCTCACATCTCATTCCTCTAACCCCCTGCCCCCTCCTTCCACTTTTTTTTTTTTTCAGTCAGTCTCATTTTATCACCCAGTCTGGAGTGCAGTGGCATGAACAGGGCTCACCACAGCCTTGACCTTGGGTTCAGGCATTCCTTCTGCCTCAGCTTTCCAAGTAGTTGGAACTACAGGTGCACACCACCACACCTGGCTAGTTTTTTTATTTATTGTAGAGATGAGGTCTTGCTAAGTTGCCCAGGCTGGCCTCAAACCCTGGATCAGGCAGCTCTCTTACCTCTGCCTTCCAAAGTGCTGGCGTTACAGGCATAAGCCACCATGCCTGGCCTTCCTTCTACTTTAAAGCGGTCCTGTGATTACATTGGCCACACCTGAACACTCCAGATATGCTCCCCATCTTAAAGTCAGCTGATTAGCAACCTTAATTCCATTTGCAGCCACAGTTCCCCTTTTGCTATGTAATGTTACACATTCTCAAACTCCAGGATGTCTTAGCAGGGCTGCTGTTCTACCTACCACACCTGTTCATCTTTCATGCTTTTGAGGCAGTAATTCCGTGTAGGCCCCACAGCTCTCTTCTTTAGTAAATGAAGAAGACTGGCTTGTTTTCTAGGCAGCTTCTTTTGTTCCTAGAAGAGAAGGTCATGAGAAGAAGGACATGGGACTCAGGGATATAAGCCACACAGCCCTGAGGGGTGAGCCCAGATCCAAGTGATACGTGGCGTTGCATTCTGGTGACCAGGTCACTGTCTCCCACACAGAAGCCCTGAAACAAGGTCTGTATCCCATGGGCATGGTGCTTCATGGGATTTGTTGCCCATCCCTATCCAAATGCTCCCTTCCAGAAGCCTCTTGCTGCAGATGTGTTCTCACTTTTTGGCTTCTATTCCTGTGACTTATCCTGAGGGAATAATTCAACACAGACAAAACACCCATAGCTGAAGTTGTCTGTGGCAGTACAAAGCAGGACACTGACACTTCCCGGCATGTCTGTCCTTTAAAAATGAGCCCATGAGGACCATTTGAAAGACTCTCAAGTGAAACAGGAATCAGGAAACTAACCAGCACACGTGCATTCCTCCTGACTGTGGCTGCATGTGATCTGGGTACACTGGAGGAAGTGATGTGCTAGAGTGGGATTAGAGACACTTGTTGTCTTTTTTCCGCCATGTTTCCAAACTGTGTTATTTTAGTGTCTAAATGAAAAAAGAGGCAGCTGCAGCTAAGTTGTGCAGCAGAAACCCAGAGGCAAACAGGAAGAATAGCACTTTCCTCTTTTGTCAGCCACTTAAAACTGATGAGCAAATGGAGTGAGCATGCTGAGTGAGCAGACATCCTTGGATAGTAAATACATGGTCCCAAACATGCCCAACCCACCAGAGAGATTTCCTAGTAGTGCTTTCTGTCTGACTATCCCCAAACCTAATGGCTTTTCACAAATATTTTCCTCTGTTGTTTTTAAGAACTTTTCTTAGTAAGGTCAGCTGACTTACTGAAAGGAAAAGAGTTGCAAAACCCTATTGACAATCTAGCAAAGAGGGATTGTGCGCCTGAATTGTTTTGTTTTGTTTTGTTTTGTTTTGTTTTTGCCCAAATGTCTCTTATCCCATAAGTGAAAGTAGAAAGGAAGATCTTAGAAGAGGTGACTGATGTGTTTCTGCATACTTTTTGCCACACTTCTCCCAGGGTTTTCCAGAAAAGGGAATGACTGGTGTTTTGTCCATTACAACTACATAAAGGCATTCACTTGCACTTCTACTGCGTGCAGCTGGCAGGCTCAGGCAGGGCTGGGGCCTCCAGTTCCAGTGCCTGAACAGGGATTGTTACGGAAACAGGAGGACCAGATGAGATTTCTGGAGATTTCTCTTTGGGCCAAGATCTCTTCTCACAGCCTGGATTAGGACGCTTACCTCCCCGAAAATGTTACCCTCCACCATGTCTTCTGGCCAGCCATGGTCAGGCGGCCTGACAGAGCTGCCTCCCCACACCCTACTCTCCCCTGGGTTCTTCACATCACAGGATTGTTTGCTAGAGGGGCTGGTCTTCCACTCATCGAGTCCCTTTGAAGCAGGGCCTGAGTGTCCTCCAGCTTGGACTGTTGGGTTCTCCGGTTTCTAAAGTTTGGTGACTGAAGGGATCGCAGATAGACCTTTGTCACAACCCCAGGCCTTAGCCCATCACTCCCTCCTCCTTTCCCTGAGGACTTCTCTTCCTTGTCCCTGACCAGGGAGTTTGGGATGACCCATACTCCTCCAGAGTCAGATTTCTGCTCTCCGGGCTGAGGCCATCAGACATGGCCAGGGAGTTGGGTAAGGGGTGGGAGGCGGGAGACAAACAAAGAGGTTGAGTGATGCTTCGTCATCTACAAACGTCAGCCCGCCCATGGATGGAGGGAAGGAGGCGTAGCCCCACAGTTACAGGAAAAATCAACAATAGATAATAATAGTAGTCTTGCTTAACACCACTTCTACTGCCAGCAGACAAAAAGAACCACCCTTTCTAAGCTCTAGCAGTGAGCACATACTTACTTTAGGGCCTTTTAATTCTTAGTATCTCTTAAAGGCCATTGGGGTATCTTCAAATTAGGAGTTCTCTGATTTTACTTAAAACACTCATTTGTCTGTTAGAGATGAGGTAATTTTTAGGGCCTTAGAGGCTCATTATGTACCATTAGATCCAGGTTTCTGGGGTATGAGTGGGGGTATGAGGACTCACTCGGGGAGTGGGGTGGGGGCTTCGTATCACCCCAGCACCTCGGCTGGTTTCATGTGACTCAGCATCTACCTGTCCCTGCAGGAGACCCTCTGCAGTGTGGAGCCTGGGTCGGGCAGTGTGCTCTTTACATCGTGATCATGATTTTTGAAAAGTCTGTCGTCTTCATCGTCCTTCTAATACTTCAGTGGAAAAAGGTTTGCCTCTTGTCCCTGCTCTGGCAGCTCCTTGCCAAGTGAAGCAAACAGCACTTCCTCCCACACCGCCCACACACCCTAACCCCATTGGAAAATGAACCTTGTTTTCTGTTTTACTCCATGAATGTACCCTGGATTTGGTCTGACGTGGCAGCTGCTTAAAAGAGCATTAACAGCCGGGTTCGGTGGCTCAGCCTGTAATCCCGCGCCTTTGGGAGGCTGAGGTGAGTGGATTGCCTGAGCCCGCGGGTTCGAGACCCCCCTGGGCAATTTGGTGAGACCTCATCTCTACAATAAATCAAAAAATTAGCCGGGCATGGTAGCGCGCGCCTGTAGTTCCAGCTACTTGGAAGGCTGAGGTGGAAGGATCGCTGGAGCTCAGCAGGTCAAGGCTGCGGTGGCCGGTAACATGCCACTGCACTCCAGCCTGGGCGACAGAACTCAAAAAAAAAAAACAAAAGAGTATTAACTTGTTTTTTCTTTTATTTAGCATCCATCCACTTCACTTATGTGAATATCTCTCTAGATTAAGCCTTGGGGTATATAAAGCTGATGAAATGCAGTCTCTGCCCTCAGAATGCTTACCATCCGATGTTAGTTTTCAGGCCTTGCAACTGTAGTGTTTATCCATTTGCAGTGTCCTCCTCACACACTTCTCTTGGCTAATAGTTTAACTGAGCCGTTGGTACCTGGGGCAGCTTCCACAATCTGTGACCACCAATGAGTTGGTGTCCTGGCCTGTCCCGCCTCTGCCCTTTGACCCCGGTGCTGCACAGATAAGCCTCTATTGCTCATCTCCTCTGTACACTCACACGAGACCAGCCAGAAACCTTTGAGAACAAGTGGCTCAGATCTTGGCCTCCCTTTGGTTTTATTTGAGGCTGGATTTTGTTTTTTGAATAAATAAGCCAAGGCTTTCAGAGCTGTTGACTTCTCAGAGGTGGTTGGGATTCAGGATTTCTGTTAGAAAGTGGGTGTCACCATGTTGCTGGTGTCTATAATGAGCATCCTCCATTGAGTTTACCCCTCAACCCTCTGAAACCCACTGTGCTTTGCAAGTCTACATGCTACTAAAGCACCAACTGCTCAACATGATCACCAAGGAGCCCCTCACTGACAGTCACATCTGGGAACCATGCATTTCTGGGGATGAGGTGCTGTTCCCGTTGGGCTCTGGGAGAAGTGTCTAAGCCAAGCCCCCCTCAGGGCCTGTGGGCACTGCCTGTCACAGGCACTTTTTCTGTGGCCTCTTTCCACCTCACTGAGTCTGCTTCTCTCCACAGGTGGCCCTCCTGAATCCCATTGAAAACCCAGACTTGAAACTGGCCATCGTCATGCTGATCGTGCCCTTCTTTGTCAACGTCAGTGCCATGTCGCATATTTTATCCTGGTTTGTGCCCTGTTTTCCGGGGTTCCTGTTCAGAGTTCTGAGCCTGGCAGGAAACTCACCATATAGTCCTCAGGTCTTTCTGTGTGACCATTTGCCACTTTCCCACCCCATCCCTAGGTGGGATTGCTCCATTAAAAGGCAGATCCCCACACCAAGGCTCCTGCACAAGATGGAGGGTCCTGGAAACTTTGTCTCTCCCTTCCTGCCACCAAGGGGCCCACCCCATGTCTGGCGCTGACTTCTACATCAGGATCATTTCAGATGTACTCCAGCTATCTGTTCCTGACCACAGTTCTCAAAGAGAAACTCAGGAGCACAATGGTTAGAAATTAGGAAGTAGAAGAAATGGTGAAGGAACCTGGGACAAACACATGACGGCAGAATGTGCCGGCCACTCTCATGGAGTTGTGGAGTCTCGGAGGCTCGGAGTCTCATGGCCCACTGATTACTGAAACAAAAACTCCTCAGCATGAATAGGTCCAGGACTTTCTGCCCATTCTCAGATAAGAAAAATGAAACAAAGGAACTAGAGATCAGGAATCTCTTTCTAAGCTTCTGGGAGTTAGAAGGGGGGATGGATGGGGTTTTTCCCTCTGGAGTTCTGGATTTTGTAACCTAGAATGAGGACTAGTGGATATGGAGGCTGCTCTGTTTTGCTTTGAAATATGGCTTATCGCCAGGCTCAGTGGCTCAGCCTGTAATCCCGCGCCTTTGGGAGGCTGAGGTGAGTGGATTGCCTGAGCCCGCGGATTCGAGACCCGCCTGGGCAGGCGAGACCTCATCTCTACAGTAAATCAAAAAATCAGCTGGGCATGGTAGTACGTGCCTGTAATTCCGGCTACTCAGAAGGCTGAGGCTACTCAGGGAGGCCGGAGCCCAGCAGGTCGAGGCTGCGGTGGCTGGGAGTGGCCACTGCACTCCAGTCTGGGTGACAGAGTGAGACTCCAACTCAAAAAAAAAAAAAAGAAAAATGGCTTATCCTGGAGTAACCTGCACATTTCCTTTCTGCAGGCTTTCATGTTTTGGGTAGTGGACAATTTCCTCATGAGAAAGGGGAAGACGAAAGCTAAACTAGAAGAAAGGGGAGCCAACCAGGACTCAAGGAACGGAAGCAAGGTCCGTTACCGGAGAGCTGCATCTCACGAGGAGTCTGAATCTGAGGTAAGGCCTCCCTGACTCTTAGGGCTTGAGCCATCATACCCCTAGCCCACGGAGTCTCTGGTCTTATGTTTGTATCTGGCCTTCCCTTTAGTGCTGAGTCACAGTGCTAGCCAAAGGGAGGGAGAAGAAGCTGAGCCAAAGAGCAGCAAGGGCACAGACTGCTCCTGTCCAGCCAGGACCCATTCCTGCTGTCCCTTGGGCCTTCCTAGAGCCGGAGGGTAGAGCATGTGGGGTGGCTTGCCTCCAACAGGCAGTGGAGACAGACAGGAGAGGGAATAGTTACCTTGTTCCAGGAAAGCTGGCAGGGACCCTCATGAGCTTAATGGTTGACCTTCAAGCATTAAGGTGTTTGAATCCCTGACCACCACTAAAGAGCAAGGGAAATGTTGACTAAGCCAGCCAGAAAATTCTAAAATATAGCAGTAACCAGGCCTCACAGGAGGAACCTCATCTCCCCTTATTTTCTGGTCTCCTAAGTTACAGATTTAGACCTCAGGAAAGAGTGGTGGTCATGAACAACAGCATCAAGGCCAGGATATGTGTCTGGCAGCCCCATGGCACTCACTCCATGTCTGTGTGCTGTAGGGTGAAGCGGGGCCAGTTCATGGGCAGCCTGGGAAACTCCTACGATATGCTGAGCTTGTGTGCAGGTGGGAGCTACAGAAACGGCTAAGACTAACACCTTCACCCAAGAGGCCTTCAGATTTGTGGATGCATAAACAGCTTGTCTTAACAGTACAGCATGTTCTAAGATGGAGGCCTGAGCAAAACCCTGCCAGGACCCCAGAACAGTCCCAGGAGGGAGTTTTGGAAAATGAATAGATGAGTAGGGCAGAGGGTACACCTGCATCTTCTCTGGGTTTGTGTCCCTAGTTTCTGCCGGGGCCTGTCAGGTTGTGAGAGCTTGAGTCACAGTGCCTGTCATTAGATGAATGACAGACTCCATTATAGGCAGAAGCAGTGGCTCATGAACCTCCACAGTCAGGTGGTTTGGCATCTGGGTAAAGTGTGAGATTCTCTGTGATCAGAGTAGCGTGCATTCTGGAGCATAGGATGGGATGACAAGAAGTGAGGCACAGGCACTGTCTGAGCTAGTTGGGCAAGGTGCTTTGTGGTCTAGGATGAGGCACTGGGATGTACTCATACAGGCAGTGGAGGCCAGTGAGTGTTTAATCAGGGTACTGAGACTGGAGGCAGGAGGCCCTGTAGAGGAGAGGTGGTGAGACTGTTTGCCCTGCCCCTACAGTAGAAGGAGTGCATGTTCCTCTGCACAGGGCTTTGGACCTCTTGATCCTGGCATAGATTCTAACCTTTCTCTGGCAGGTGGCATTGCAGGTGGGCAGGGGATGAGAGTGTTTGCCCTGGCTACCCCGGCAGTATGACTGAGCCGTCCCAGGAACTCAGAAGAACAAAGTGCTAGCATTTGTCTTCAGATGTTATAAAGTTGGTTTAAAGCAGCCACTCGGAAACCCTCTGCCTTATGTGTGCCCACAAATGTTTTCTTTTCCTTTTGAAAGAGGCTTATCAGACTGCTTCTGCCATACTTAAGGCTGCCTCAAGGGCTTAGAACTCCATGTGTCAAGCCTGGATGACATTGGGCTGCAAGTCCCTGCTGAGTTTGCTCTAGTGGGGGTTGGTTGCAGCATAGGGGCGGATGGAGAAGTGGGGAATATTAGCTGAGGAAGGGGTCTGTCAACTCAACACTAGCCTCAGTAGGCCCTGAATGTACCTAGGGTGAATGCAGTCTGTAGTGGGTCAGCATGTCTCATTGTGTAAAAGGAGCCCCTCCACCTCCTCTTTTAAAGAAACCTGAGACCTGAGGCTTCCTCATGGGGCACAGGGTCCAGGAAGGTGAATGAAGAAGGTTCTGCTGGCAGTGACTCAGACCCTGCCTCTCTACTACCTCAGATCCTGATCTCAGCTGACGACGAGATGGAGGAGTCCGACATGGAGGAGGACCTCCGCAGACTAACCCCCCTCAAGCCCATGAAGAAAAAGAAGCACCGCTTCGGGCTGCCTGTATGACACATTCCCATGCTGGGGGTGATGGGCTGGGCCCAGCTGGCCACCGGGGTACAGAGGTCACCCCGCAGCATCGTTCCTTCCCTCCTTTCTCTGCCCTTCCTCTTCTACCTCTACTCCTCTTGCTGTCTTTGCCCGCTCTCTACCCACTCCCAGACTACTGTGACTTAAAGAGGGAAGAGGAACCAGCGCCCAAGGGGTCTGCAGGTGGCTGGAGGTCCCCACTAAGTTGCACTACAAACACTGACCAAATATGCAAGGAAGGAGTTTTGTTTGTTTTGTCCTGAGCAGGTTGTGAGGGACCTGAGGCCCCTGCCCTGTGTCTGACTGGGTGGCAGGTGGAAGAAAACACAGGCACACATAGAGTGCAGGTGGCTCCTCTCACCGAGGCTGCGAGGAGTGTGAATTTGGGGCTGAAAGTCACTCACTGACCAAGTTGGAACTGAATGCTTTCTTATTCGAAATGGCTTTTGTAACTATTGATTTCTGAAGCCAGTTTTATGAGCTGTGACAGTGTTACTGGTTTTTGAGTATGTGTTTATTTCCTACAAAGTACCTGTGGGACTAATGGGCAAAACAGAGATTTTTAAGTCTTCCGTATACTGTTTGACTTTTATATTTTTAAGTTATATTTTCATACTATTGTATTTAAAAACTCTTTTTAATCCCCAAAGAAATGGGTTTATTTGCCTTTCATGGGGTGTGAGCTGGTGGGAGGAAAATGTCGGGATTTTTTTACTTGGAATATTGTTAGGTGAGATCCTACAATAATATGAGGTAAATGATCCCAGTTAGGGAAGGAGGATGGCCCTTATCTGGAATGAGCAAACCCAGTGGTTCTGTGAAAGGCCTGAGCATGGGGCAGCTGGCCTGGATGTAGATCTGGGAGCCCCAGGAGCATGGAACAAGAAGGACTCTGCCCAGGGCCCACGAGCTCTGACAATTTTCTGGCAGGTTAGAGGTCTTAGTTAAATTTAACTGAGAGAGTACCCTATGAGGTCTTTGGGTCCAGAGGAATCAAGACTACCAGGCCTCTTCTGTGTGTTTTCTGCCTCTCTGTAGAGCCTCCAGTTCTCCAGTTTAAAACGGTCTCAGCCTCTTTGCCTCCCCTGCTACAACCTTCAGAGCCAGCCCTGGACCCACCAGGACTTCCTTTCTTGCTGCCTTGGTGTACCTGTCATCCTAGTGTCCTCTACTCATTTTGCACAGCAGTCTGGAGAATGTCTGCCTGACACAGTGATCCTGTTTCTCACGTCCTCCAAAGCTGAGGTGTCTGGGATGGGTAGGGGTAAGAAAGCTCATTCTCTAAACCCATAGGCAGGATTAGGTGCTTCTAGGCTATGTCCCCTCCTTGGGGGTTACCCCCACTTCTCAGCATGGCCACAGACCCCTGTGGCTTTGGGAGTTTGCTGAGTGGCGATGGAATAGGCTTACCCTGAAAAGTTTCCCGGCTGTGGAAGCAGCAAGGTCAAGCCACCAGTGGTTTGTCAAGCCAAGAGGCAGCTGTGGATATTTAGGAGTAGAGAACCACACCACTAAGGTGCCAGCTGGAAGGGAGACAGACTGGGCTTCAAGTGAGACAAGTGCAGGGGAGGCCACTCTACTTAGAACCTTCCTTTTAGACCTGCAAAAACATGTTTTACTTAAGCACATTGAGTTTGAATTGTGGCATGTGAGCCCAGCTGCTAAACCAGCCACACTGGGATTGTCCTCTGCCTGTCCTGGACTTGGGGGCAAGCCTTGGAGAACCTTCTCAGCTCATCTTCTGTCAGGAGTGCAGAGCCAGAGGTCTGGGAGGAGCAGGGACTGAAACTGCAGTAGAAGGTGACTGTGCTAGTGGGAGCTTCGCAGCCAGAGAGGAGGGGCAGGCCAGGTGGTACCTGAACATGGAGTCTTGTGGGTCTCCCATTGCTCCTGCCCTCATTTCCTCTCTTCGCTTCTCCCATCCCATGTCCGTTGTAGTGAGTCTTTCCCTGATGGTTCTCTAGTGGAAAAGAGTGGCTGGAGGTAGGCCATATTGAATCGAATTTGGGAAGACCAGGACTGACTTTCCTGGTAGGATGACCAATTCCTTGTGGCATCGGTGACTCAGTTATAATTCCTCCCCTCCTGTTTCATTTTGATTTGAACAACCTGTGCATGCAGCTGTTTCTTCCATCTTCCTGGATCTTGGAATCAGAGCTTCATTTTCAGTCTTGAGCTCCTAATGTTCCAAACCGTGGGTGAGGGGTGGGAGAGCCATAATCTGTGAAAGATGCAAACTCTGGGTTATGTAGACTTCAGATGGTCTCACGTGAAGGCTTGTCCCAGCACCTAATGAGCAGTGGGATTGGGGAACAAAGAGGTAGCTGATGAGTGATGGTTTTCCCCTGTATCCTAATTTTCAGAAAGGACTTTAGTCTCTGAGCTGCAGCTGTGTAGTTAGCTGGCTAACTAGAGGATAGAGATCTAACAGGGTGTCTGATCTTAGGGGGCCTCCTGGTGTGTGAGCTTGGACAGCGTGGCTCTCATGTTTGGCCTTTCCTTCCTCCTTTGT